AATGCGTTATGATAGGAATGTTTATGTGCACAAGGGGCAGACTGCCAGGTCCATTTTGCAAGGTACCAGGAGATTAAAAAATGAGAAAAATCAAGTTCTGATATGCCCCCAAAGCAGGAATGTTATCAATCACATTCCTCTGATGGCTCAACAAACAAGTACTACTACAGATGGTTGTACTACTACAGGTCGCTGGCAGATGTTCAACTAAAAGCACAATGGGATGTGATCTACAATCCTAACAATCATGCCTCCAGCTATTGTACACGTGTATAGCAGGAGGCACAACTGTAGGATCCAGGATCAAATCCAAATCTTATTATATTGCCTGTACAAGAGGAACTGGGATCATGATCCTGGACTCCCCCTATACCAGCAAGTAGAAACTTGGTAAGCTGACCAGTAGGCCTTGAGAGCACATCAGAGTCAAGGGCTCCAATGTGACCCTAAAACCAGAAGTCCCAATCAAATGACTGCCACTCCCAGCCCTGGGGGTGCACCAGAACCCTTGACATCAAAGTACCCCAACACTCAGAATGCCAATCAATGACTGCTACTTTCAGCTTTGGGGCATATCAAAGCCCTTGATTGTGATGCACCCCCAGGGCCAGGAGTGCCAATCACCTGTCATGCCCAACCTCAGCAGTGTATTGGAGCCCATGACTCTGATGTGTCCCCAAAGCTAGAAGCACCAACCAGCGGACTGCCACACTCAACCTTGGAGGTATGTTGGAGCCATTGACTCTGATGTGCTCCCATGGCTGGGAGCTCTGACTGCTAATCAGCCTGGTCACACATTCAGTTTAAGTTTCAATAGGAACTAGCCACAAAGTTATTGCACATATTTTGTGCAATAACTTTGTGATTTATTCCTTGCTATTAACTGCATGAACATGTAGCTGGGGGCCATTATGTTAAGTGCAAAACTACATGACAGTGGTTTTGCCCAATTTCTCAGGATTTTAAGAAAACCAAAAGCCTACTTTTAAACACAGCCTGTCTTAATATAAAAAGACAATTTTAAAAAGATTATAGAAACCATAAAGCAGAAGTCCAGCATCCTTGGCATTGCTTCTTTAAATATAAATTAATTCACCCTTTAAGAATGATAAATTAATCAAACTTAAGTTAATTAATTTGTTAGACATCCACCTCTGTGCTAAATGCATTAATCATGGAAATCATAGAGAAGTAGGGCTGGAAGGGACCTGCAGAGGTCTTCTAGTCCAACCTCCTGGCAGAGGCAGGATCATCACTATCCAAATCATCCTATACAAATCCATAATCTGAACTCTTTATAAAATTACTGTCAGCCCTGACACAAAACAATATATAAACTGCTACTGGTAAAGCAGGGAAACCATGGCAGGCAATGTCCTGCTTCTATTTAAGAGTGTTACAGATGTGTATCTGGATTAGTAGGTTGTAAATGTAAGTATTTGGAGGCCAGAATTTCTTCTGAGTCCTGTTAGTTACACAAATCTGAATTTGGATCATGGCATTAATCCTGATGGAAAATAGAGGGAAATATTGTAGGGACAACTAATTTCCCACATTTATCACCTCAGTCTCCTCTTCTTATTGTGATATTGGGCACATTTACATGTGATGCTACATCGCCATAGCAACACATAGCATCTGTAGGCAAAACCCATGATGTTGCCACTATGTTGCCATAGCAACACACTCCCTTAGCTTAGCGTATTGCTACAGTGACATAGCAGCTAAAAATAGCTATACACCACCACCACAGTGCAGTACAGTGCACCATTGTTTAGTACTAAAAGGAAGTACTGAATGACAGCAGAGTAACAACAGAGCCATAGGGGCACATGTAGACTTGCCCTCTGAACTGGAAGGCCATAGGTCCTCTGGCTACCACACCACAATTTCTGGAATCTGTGTGGTTCTAGCAGAAGACATTAACCATAGTAAGTAGACAGTGATGTTCCTAACTATTCATAGGGATGTGAAGGTCAGGTCACGTTAGGTTCAACATTCCATAAGATACCTGTTATAACAGAGGGACAGAATTTGCACCTGCCAAAGAGGCTGATGAGGGAACTACCCAACTAGTGTCCTCTTGGCCTTACCTTTCACCCACAAAGGCAGTGGAGAGATGAACTTCATGTGATGAAACAAGGGCTAATATGGAAATAAGAAATACAAAAAGTGAAACGAGACATGGAAAAAGTGTATTGTACAGAACTAAGGGTATATCCTTTATAAGGCAGAGACTAATTTTCAAAACTGGAAAGCAGAAAATAGCCTTTGGTGTCAAAACCTGAACCTATGTGCATGGAAAATCTAGAGTGTTTATATCTAGAGTCCAGAATTTGGGTTCATAGCTAATGTAATGAGGGAAAAAAATGAATTAAACCAGCTTAAATCTCTGTGGATGAAGAGGCTCTGGGGTTAGAGAAAAACCCATGACTGACCCCTGTTTAAAACTTACCTCAGGTGATGTGAGGAATGCCTGTGATGAACAGAGCTCTGCGGGACACTTCTGGAGCCATTGCTCCCTCTTCATTGGTGGTGGGCTGACCCAGGAAAGTGCTTCCAGTCCCAGAAAGGGGCAGCCAGAGAGGAGTGAGCAGCATCCTAAGAGGGAAAACACTGAAGGGCTCTCTGGCCAGAACCTCTTGGCAGAGGAGGTCTGCAGCAATTGGTGACAGTGGTCAGAGGACCACCCAGTGAGCCAGAGACCATCACTGGAGTCCTGTGATCAGCATGCCTGGAGAATGATGGTTAGAAAATGGTATTTAGAGGTTTGCTTTTGGTAACTGGCTTATAGGGAAAGTAGATATGCATTAGAGTAATGGTCCAGGGCAATAGGAGGGTTAACTGATGTCTAAAAAGCCTGTTTGTGATGAGAGTTTCCTCCAAGGCCCACTGTGTCTCCTATAGGCAAGCAGTGAACAGACACAAAGGATGGGAAATTGAAGACATGTACCACACTGTTCCATAACATAAAATAAGGTAACACCAGGTCACAGTACCTAACTTCAGGGCCCTTGGGCTTTCTGGTTTTGGAGGAACAGACCAAATTAGGAGAAGACTGGGAAAGCCTGAATTAGGATGTGTGCATGTGATGGGTTTGTGAAACAAAGGAACATGCTGACAGGACAAAACATGAACTCTATGACAACCACACAGAGACCAATCAATGATGCCTAAGATGAAAAGTTATCACAGGAGGAGAAAAGATATGAAAAAAGGGATTTTAGAGCAGCAAAGAAGCCCCAAGAGGGGAACCCAAGGCCACTATGGACAGAGGGCATACCACCAGCCCATCTCGCCCACCCTACTGTGGGGGAGGGGAGTGGGACCTCGATCTCCAACCTCTAGGCTGCTGACATTTGGCATTCAAAAGAGAACCTCAAAGTGAAGCTCATGTATTGGCCAGACATACCTTGACCCTGATGACAGCTCTAGGACTGATAGATATAAAATTATTTGCATTATTCTTATCTGCTATCACCATGCATCAATAAATTGGCCTATTATTGAATGGAAAAGCTGTGGTTGATCTGAGGGTTTGGGGTCTGTCTGGAACAAGGTATCTGGGTCATAAATCCAGTACCAACAGAGAAAAGAGAAGAAAGCTTGAAGAATTGAACAGCACAAAGCTTGCAGTTACGAGCCAACCATGAGTGAGCATTTTGCTTTCAAAATTCATTCTTCTATTATTTCCAGGACTATTTCACAAAAGCCATCAGGGGGATTTTCTTTTCCTAGGGGCATGAGTAAGCTTGAAGGTATTTCTTTTTGTTTAGTCCCTCTAACACTTATTGACAAGGGAATTGATAAAAGAGGGAAGGAGTATTCCTCCTGAGGATAATGTATGTCTGCTTAATTGATTCTTATGGTGATGAAACTGTCAAAATAACTGGATAAAGAATACTTATACAATAACCAATAATGTGAACTGATAGATGAAAGGACACCTATACACTGAGTGATGATAATGGTGTTCTGAATTAGTGAGAAGTGACATTATAGAACCTAGCTGAATATTTAATAGCCACGCTGGGGTGACCAGCATCTGGGATCTGAAAGGAAGGGGATGCACCCCTGGTGCAGAGTGTTGCCAAACATGCTGGATGTGGTAAGCGTGGAGTGCAGGGGAGATGGAGCCCCACAAAGATAGCCCTCCCCCCAGTAGACCTTAGTTTATTTGCCCCATCAGGACCATCTTCCTAATTTGCATAATATCAAAGTCATGATAGTCAAGCATAAAAGAAGAACTAAACTCGAGGGGAAAAGAATTTGATGTCAACAGGCAGCTGGGTAAGGGAGTAGCAGCATTCCCTACAGCCTTATATCATCCAGTAGCAGGACATCAAGTCAAAGAGGACCCACACCTTAAAACACCTACCCTCAACAATCTCCCATAAAGGTGAATAATGATTATTGAAGAAATAAGTTTTCACTGCATGTATTTACACAATAATTGTCATTTTCCTAAGTACAGGACCCTCCAAACCTATCAATCTGTTACTTTTCACAAAAAGAATATCTACACCATGAGGCAAAAAATGACTTCTCAAATGAGAATTGTCCATCACACATGAAATGTTGGATCCTGCTGAGGGTTGAGAAAGAATTGTTTTCTTGCCAGAAAAGTGATTGGCATCATTTCCAGTAATAAGAAACTTAAATGGTTACCTATATATCATCTGAAAAACCACAGTGACTCAAAAGATCCTTGAGTTTTTTCCAGGATCCGCTATTAGTGGGTGAAGAATTACTCTCCATTGCCATCTGTTTTGTATTTCTTCATTGGACAGAACCTTAATAAAACAATACTCCTCCTTAAATGCAAACATGATTGCCCATTGCTGAGGAAGGAAAAGCATCCTCTGTTTGTCCAGTGCATCTGCCCAAGACTCCACCTTCTTAGACCCTGTGAAACAATCTGGGAATAAAGCCAAACTCCCTTACTATATAAGACTCTGAGAGTGCAGGTGAGCTAGTCCTCCTGACCAACCTCAGACAACATATCCTTGTACCAAACTCCCCTTCAGATGGGGTTTGGTAGGGGGATACAAGTGCCAATATGGGCCCTGTTGTTAACAGTCTGTTTTGCCCAGCAAGAAGGTAAGAACCCATTCACTTTTCATTTTATAACTTGCAAAGAAAAAAAAGAAGTCTGAAGTTGATTAGATTTATTAATATAAACAATTTTACTTGTTTTACTTAGTCACCTTTTAAACAGTTTCCTTAAAATTAAACAAGATTTCTGTGTGCCTTTTTCATTCTTACTATGTCCATTAAGTCCTTAATGCCTGCATATTAACAGGATTGATTTAATTGCATGTTGCCTGAAGCCAAGATATTTAAGTGTATTTGGATTAAGACAGCTTTCAAGATCCAATCAAAAAAGATAATTCTCCATCACTTGAAACAATGAAAATAGTGATCTCAATTAAACCTTTTAAAAAGTACTTCTACTGAGTTTTGTATTAGGACTGATGTTGAATTTTATATTTATGTTGACACACAAAACAGCAGTAGGCCAGACAGGTGATCAGTCTAGTCCAGGATGCTGGCATTGATGGTAGCCAGTACCAGCTGCATTAGAGGAAGGTTCAAGACAGCATGAATCAGGTAGTAAAGGGGAAACTCAAAAAGTACTTTCTTCCTAATGCCCCGCCAAAGGTTTGAGCTTGGTTTATACCCTGAAGTATCACAGTTTATATCCTTTTCAAAATATGTGTGGGGTGGGCTTTTCAGCTGTTGTTGGAATTCGAGATTTTTTGTGATCCATACACATGTCTGTTTCTTGTTTTAAAATCTTCTGAGAATTTGGCCTCAATGGTAATCTATGGCAAGAAGTTCCATCCATTAATTATGTAGTATCAGCTTTCAATATGTCATCTTCTGTTCATAATGATTGTTCCTTTGTCTCTAAAAGAGAGGGAGAATGAGAGAGGCAGTGGGTGCAGTAGCAAAGTATTTAAGATGTTTTGCTACTGTTTCAAAGGTATGAATTTAAGGTCTGCTCCCAACTTGTGTCCTGCTGGCTACTACATTTAGCATCTTGATCAGAGAAATGCCTCAAAAATCACACATACATTTTTTCTTTTTTACTTATCATATTTTAATCACAGACAATTGTAAATGCAGCAATTTCAGGCAATTTTAGTTTTCTCAAAGGCTAAAATGGCAACTCATTGAATCAACTAGTCTGCAAGCTTTCATTTCAATCACTGCACTTCAAAATCATTCTGCAACATACTTACTAATCCAGTCCAGGCCCCCTGTGAACAGAGCAGCTCATTTTTGCTGTATTATAATGAATTGTAGGGGGCATTGTGATGTGGACAAATAAAGATTAGGTTGAGGCCATCAGACTTCTTTTTTCTTGCAGCTTATTGTTAAGCAAGTGTCAGTCTCATATTCTGAGTGACTGAAAGGTAATGGCATAATCTTCCACCACAGACATGAATGGCAGTTTTGCTACCAATTTTCACAGAAGTAAGAGCAGGTCCTAGTATGCTGTGCTTGTATGCAAATCTGGGACTGTATCCTCATTTTTATGCAAAACACCCACAGACGTCAATGGAAGTTCCATCCACAGATTGACAGCAGGATATGCTTTTGACAAGTAGTTCAGAAGTACCTGCTAATGCAACATAGAACATTATTTCTTACCTGGCAAAAAGTAAGCTGCAGATCCTGAGAGGTATTTCACTTCCTAGTGTTTAACAACAAGAAATGCAAGTGCCAAATAAACAAAAGAAGCTGCGTTTTCCTTGGGAAAAAATGAAGAGGAAACACATTTCTGCAATGTACTGCCCCACTAGAAAGACTGCTTATATGATAGAGCAGATTAAATACTTAAAGTATTTTCTATAATTTGAAAACAAATCTACAGTTGGTGAGGTTACTCAAGGTGTAAACTGATATCCTTGAGAACACAGAGAGATCCAGAGACATTTTCAGATTTCACCTTCTGATAAGTACAGATTATATCGGTATCTCATGTCCAATGCAATATAGAAGGAAACATGAAAAACAGAAACTCACTGTTAATTTTTTCCCTTGGTCACTTCTTTGTGGAGGGTCACTGGTAAGTCAAAGGTGTAAATGAGGAAAAAATAAACTGCCAGACCCAGAAAGCAACATAGCTGTAGTTCAGGTTACCAAGCCTCAGCAGTTCCCCAGCTCTAGGGGTGTTTAGACTATACAGACACCTCAGGTTTTTACATTCAAGTTCTGCTTCTGTGCACACCCCTAAGCACCTCAGTCTTGTCAGGGCTTGGCAGCTCAGCATCTAACTTATGATGAAGTCCCTCTGGGACCTAAAAACTACACATTCATCTGCCTGCCTTGCCGGACAGGTTTGATTCAGCAGGTGTTCTCAGAGGGCGCTTACCAGATTGGGCTCTATACAATGTACAGTGGCAGCTGCTGCTTAAAAAAAAACAACAACCACTGGAACGGCCTCCCTTGCCCAGAGCCCGCTTTCATTCAGCAGCTCAGTAGTTCGGTATCTCAGGATGTGAGTGATGGAAGTTCAGCTCCTTCCTCTGCCCAGGCACATTTAAAGCTACCTCTCCCATCACCCTAAAGAAGGCCTCCACCACCAGGACAGTTTTCTAGCCACTAAACTACAGAGTTGTGTCCACTCTTGTGGACTCTCACTCCCTTTTACGGCAAGTGGAGCGTCTTCTGCAGGAGAAGCTGAGAGAACTTCTCCTATTGCCAGCCTACTGCCTGGTGATTAGGCCACTCTCCTTGTACTTGGCTGCATTTTAAGAGAAAAACATGACCTCTTCATTTTTAAGGCAAATTTTTAGGCACTTACTTTTAAGCAAGGGCTCTGCACCATGAATTCCAAGAAGAAGGAAGCCCTTCCCAATAATACTGAAGAACATAAGCTCCAAAGAGAAGTAGGCTTTAAGACATACCTCTTTTCTGTGTGCTTTCCCCAACCAGCTCAAGTAGCTCCGTGCTCAGAGTGCTGATTTCAGGTGGCTGCTGCTCAACAACCTGTTTTTGATCTCTTTCTGAGGCTAATAACTCTTCCCATGCATCATATGGAAAGTCTAGGTGTTTAATTCTGGGTTCCGTATGAGGGACCATGTACCTGAATGTTAGCTATTGTAGGACATTCAGGATCACAGCCTAAGAGCTAGATCCAGTAAAGAAGTTTTAGGTGCCCGCTCCAAGGACTGTTTAGTGTAAAATACAGAAATGCTGCTGGGAACAGACCCTACGCTTCTGACCCTTGCCAGCTGGGTGCCCCAACCATTAGGCTACAGAGTATTGTTTGCTCTAGCTTTAGTCTGCCTTTTCTTTCTATCCTCATGAACCTTATCTTCCACAACTGAGGGACTCCCCACCCACCATAACTTATAGCCTTGTGGCTGGGGCAGCTGATGGTTAGGCTTAAGAAGGTAGAACAGGTGGCTTAGAGTCCCCATAAGCCCTGCTTGTTTTTCTAAAGAACAGAAGCAGGTATCTACCTTCAGGGGAGAATTTCAGGTAGTTGACCTTATACGAACAGGGATGTGCTCCTAGAGCCCTGAATCAGCCTAAGCTTCAGAAGGGTGGATTTATGACTTCCTCTTGTATTCAGTGTTTCCTATTAGAAATCTCTGGGCCATTTAGCATACAAGTTTCTGAATCACCATAAGGCGGCATCTAATTTTCTTGGCACTGTATAAAGAGCCCAGATACCTATTTCAGGGTTCTGGATTCCCTGCAGGGGCCAGACACTTAAAAGGATGGTGCTTTAATGTCTAACTTGTAAACGTCCAATCCTACATTGGATCTAAGTCCCTGGTTTTTATTAAGCTCTGCTGTATTTTGGTATTATTGTTGAAATACTACATGGGTGTTTTTTTTAATAAAGTCTCGCTAATATTTTCTGGATTTTTGTTGTTAATTTTGTTAATTGTCTCCAGCAATTAAGCAGTAAGGAAAGGAATGTGACCCATAAGGAATGGCCATATACCTATACATAGTATAAAATCTCTTTCTACAATTACCTTTACTTTTATCTTAGGGCACAAAAAGCCATTTCAATAAAATTAATAGAAATATTTCTTTTTATTTCCATATGGGCTGTCACTACCTTTTTTGTGCATCCCTGAATGAGCACCTAGCCATTTTTTATTATTGTGGATTGATTGATTTACCCAAGGAATTTAAATATATGACTTCATATTTAACATTTTTCTTTGTATTCCTTTGCAGCAGAGCAGATTCCAAGTCAAAGCATCCAAGACACAGAAAATGAGTCTGTTCAGCAGGAACAAGACAGTATGTTGCCAGTTTATGTTGTATATATGTGGCCACATTTTCTTTCTTACAACAATACACATGTAATGATCAACATTAACCAAAAAAACCCAAACTTCTTCAAGAAACAAACAAGGACCAAAAAAAAAAAGATATGCATTTTTAAATGATGTACCTATGCATATGCATATACTCTGTATAGTATATACGTATTTATTTCCGAGTTGGGTGTACCTGTAGGATTTCAGTAAAGCCATTCATGATGTTTGGTTCTCAAGACGTAGAAATGACACTCCTTTGAAGTGTAGGCTCATTAGCTAAAGGTCGAAAACAATGATGGTGTTTTTTGGACATATATCCTATAAAGTATCAAAAGCACAGAACTAAATGTATGAGTCAGATCCCACAATGATATAAATTGTCATAACTCCACAGAAGTAATGGTACTTTATAGGGGTGTGCAAAGTAGGCTCTATTCGATTTGGATTTGGCCCAAATCAGGGACAGTGATTTGATTCATTGATTTGGATCACTGTCCCTGATTCAATTCGGCCAAATCCAAATCCAAAGATTTGATGCTGATTTGGAGAATCAGCAATTTGGACATAGGCACAGCTTTAAAAGTATTTTCTACACACCTTGAGGTAGCAGGCATGGCTCGTGATTGCTGCAATGCTGGGGTGCATGGAGCGTCCCACGGGAGTAGGGGAACACCTTCCACGTGCTCAGTGGCAAACCCAGAAGTGGACCAGATGTACTTCCAGTCCACTTCCAGGTCCATCAGGGAGTGCGCAGGGGGAGAGATTAAAGGGTCCTCTGATTCGATTTGGATTCGGAGATTCAGCCACCAAATTGGGCTGAATCTGTGCCAAATCGAATCAGGGACCAAAGCTTTGCGTAGCTCTAGTACTTTACTAATATGGCCGAGCTGGTTATCTGACCTTACCAAGGAGTCTAAATGAAAGAACTTCAAAGGGCCTGAACAAATGATGCCATTCAAGATGAATTCCCCTAATAGATTTATTGCCATGTGAATGGCATTTCATTTCATCCCTTCCACTGAAAAAATAGAAGGGGGAAATTGAGCCCTCCATCCACACCGTGAGAAGAAGCAATACTATTAATATGCAGCTTCAGTTTTATATTGCTGTTAAATTAATTTATTTGTAACCATACTCTCTGTGAATTTTCATATCCAGTACAAGAGGTCTACCATAAAAGGGTCAAATTTAGAAATCATATTATATGATTCTGGCTTTACGTTTTAATGGCAGTTTTTTTCCTGATCCAAAGCCCAATGAAGTCAGAAAGGCCATCATTGATATTAATGGACTTTGGATCAGACCTTTGAATTTTCTAATTTTTCTACAATTCAGGAAACCCCACTTAATGTTATTTCACGTAGTGCTTTTTCCCTATAATGCTAATTTTAAATTGATACCTGATTTCATTTAGCACTCAGCGAGTTTCATTATAACACTTGTGGTCACCATCTTGGGCCATTAAAAACAATTGCGGTCAGCATCTTGGGTAGTCAAATACTTTTGGTTTTGCTTAACACTCATTTTGCTTAACATTTAGTTTTTCAGGAACCAATTAAGAGCACTAAGTGGGGGTTGCCTGTTCCTATCCTTCTTCATCAGAAAATGTGATGTGGATAGATCCAAAATTTAATGTGGATTGCCAGAGTTTCTGACCTTTTGTGCTAGCTTTTATTTTATTATTTTATTTCTTCCCTGTAGCTTTTCAGGCTACAACTCCACCTGGAAAGGTGACCATCATCCAGCCAATGACAACAAACCCAGTGATAACAAGTAAGTTAAGCAAATACAGTGTTTAAAAAAAAGTCATTTATTTTTATGGGGTGCAGATGCAAAAGTTAAAATAAATAGGAAGAGAGACTGGTATACGAGAAGAGGGACAGATAAGCAGAGAAGGAACAAAGATAATGGAAAAGTATGATATCATGTCTGAATCACAAATTGACAGACAGACCAACAGGGAAAGGCAAAGCATGGGTGAAAGGCATGGGCAGATTTTAGGATTTTGAAAAGGGGTATGCATACAGTATGGCACATCACCACATATAAAATACAACTCATATTGTTTCCAGTTTAAGAGAAGCTAGTTGCTTTACTATTATGCTAGGCATCTAGCACTATATTGTTCATTTTCAAAGTCTGATCTTTCAAAGTTTAAGATCAAAGCAAAAACAAATGTAACTATTGAAATGTGCACTAATCTGTTAGATTCTATAAAAGTTAAAAAGCACAAGCTAGGCAAAAAAGTTAAAAAATGTCAAAAGATATTGTGTCATTAGTCCTGTAGTCATAAATATAGGTCTCTTATTTATAAAACAAAATGTATCTTTCCTGAGAGTCTTGACAGTACCTCTACTTCACTGGAAGCTATTTCTATATCTCAGTTAATGTTACCATACCTGAAGTAAGGTTTCTAGCTAAAGCTAGAAGCAGTCTGCAGGGCTGTGAAGTAGAAAAGAGACATTACCATGAATGGCTAACAGACAGCAAAACTGTAAAAGAAAGATACTTTGAATAGTGAAACATAAGGCAAATTCAAAAATAGAGGGTCATTAACACATATGGAGTAGCAAGATTAGCAGGAATGAGGGAGATGATAATGAGCTGTGAAGTAAATTGACTCTCTCAGCAATAAAATAGAAATGCTGCTACCCTCCCAAGCAGTTGGCTTTAAACTTTGGATGGGGCAAGGAATCAAAGAGGTAGTGCAATACAACCCCCCTGGATCTGCCCTGGTCAAAGGAAAACCTAGGTTAAATCATTGTATTGTCTTGAATACAATATACACCTTTTTTCCCCAAAAAAATCAGCTGCTGAAAACTGTGGTGTGTGTTATAAACAAAGAAATATGGTAATAGCAATTTCTACTGAGAAAGCTTCTGCTTAGAGGAGGAGACAGGAGGAAGGACACAAAATTAAGGTTGAATGTGCTCAGGGAGTAGCACAACAAGCATGCTGGTTTCCTTAGCTGCTGCTACTCTGTTACTTACTGCCGCTTGCCCCTATTTTCAAGGATGTTTCTTTTTTCTTCGTGCTGCCCTTCAAAAGCAAGGTGCATGTCTTATTCAGGGATGTGCTTACATAAAAAAATACAATAGCAGATGGATGGAAAAATAGATAAAAGTATATGTTCACAGCAGCTAGGTAGACATAAAATAACATATGAAGGTGGATAAAAGAATAAATTAATTGAAAAAATGAGGGTTTGAGATGAAGGACATAAAGGAGTTTGCAGAAAATTCTTACAGTTAATTTTGAATCCACAGCCTTAAACCCTGCTCACAATGAACGCGTGTGCAGCACATGGGGCAACTTCCACTTCAAAACCTTTGATGGGGACATCTTTCATTTCCCTGGGCTCTGCAACTATGTTTTTGCATCCCACTGCAATGCAGCTTATGAGGATTTTAACATCCAAATCAGGCGCACTCTGATCGGAAATGTTCCTACTATCAGCCATATCATCATGAAACTTGAGGGTGCGATTATTGAAATAACGAAGGATTCTGTTCTCGTGGACGGCAGTAGGTAAGTTTAGACACATGACATAGCTACTTCCTCAACCTGCCAAAATTTTCAGTGCCATTCTATAAACACCATCTGTTGTATAGTAGTCTTTGCCTTCATGGATGGACACAAACCAAAAGCTCAAATCAAATATCATTGAATTCTGGCAAAGGTTGAATTCAGATTCAGAACTATATTTTGTGGCTTGGGCTCATTGATTCTTTAAACACCTTTTCCTTCCCCAGGCCTTCCTTCTTGGAGAATTCACATTAATGCAGGGTAACAGAAACAAGCTTTTCCTTTTATGCTTTCATAGTTAGAAAATATCTACCGTGTAGGTTTTTCTTTTTCTCCTAGGGTTCAGCTGCCCTCTAGCCACTCTGGAATCCTGATTGAGAAAAACAACATCTATATAACAGTGAGAGCCAAAATGGGCTTGCTTTTCATGTGGAATGAGGATGACAGTATCTTGGTAAGATTGCATTCCCAAAGCTGCAGAGAATTCATAAAATAATAGACAGTCCAATCAAAGTCAAATTTTCCACAAGTCTTGATTTTATGCAAGTGCAAACTGTGTATGGACACCCATTTGTGCACTCTGATTCCATATTTGTGCATACAAACAGCCAATGGATGTGCTAATTCAGTAGTTATATGTTCACAACAGAGAAGCTGTATATATGTGTGGCCCTAAGCACTGCAGTATGGAGATACTCTACAAATCCTTGCCTATCCTTAGGTATACTCATTTCCATCATTTTGGGGGTACTGCTCCCCTGTTAATATTTTCCAAAGTTCTACTTTCATTCATGCACCACTGAAGCAAGCTATTGGCATACTCCTTGTGGGAAGGAGATGAGATGGAAAAAAATCATTTCTACTACATCATTAACATGTTAGTGTTATTACAGCAGGTGCCACTTACCTCCTCAAATTTTATTTTCCAATAGAATCCCAATTTCATAGGACTTCAATTTCACAGTGGATTTGATTTGCTCTCTGGAGAAAGAATAAAGAGAAAGAGGCTGAATATAATACAGATATTACAGTGAAAACTGGGTCCGTATGAATAGCTTGGATTCTATGAATCAGAAATCAAATCCAAACTGAGTCTTCATTCCATCAGGCAGGCTTGAATTAGTTTGCTAAAACATTTACACAGCCCTGATGAAAACTATTTAGGTGCAGCCGGCGCAGCTGCTTTCACTGATTTTGAATACATTTTGGAATGTGTATATTAACTTTTATCAACTTTCCCTCCATCATTTCAGCTGGAAGTGGCTGAGAAATATGCCAATCAGACCTGTGGGCTGTGTGGGGACTTCAATGGCATTCCAACATACAATGAGTTCTTTTCAAACAGTAAGTGTTAGAAATAATGGCAGAATGATGGTTGATCTCTAGCATCTCCATTCTCTGCATCAAGAATTTGTTATGTTCAGTTGAGTCAAGCCTCTTCAGCATTCCTCTTCTTTGCTGACAGCCTTGCTCAGAGAATCACCACATTTCAACCTCTAATGGCTTGAATTATATCCAATGCATAGGTAGGATACCCTGATCAATTACCAACTTAATTAATATTTATTTGGCTTATTGCCATTTAAAAACATGAAGTATGTGTACTATCCGTGTTAAAAAACAATTGTATGTCTCCTATCTCCCACTGGTGTATTTGTTTCATGTGATAATCAATTAGATGAGAGCCAAATTCTAATAGTCAAGCATGAGTAAGTATAGAAATATATTCTCAGGACCAAAAAGTTAGCAATAAGTTGTAGTAAAACAGTTCATTATAATTTTCTGGTCAGGAAAGTTCCTGTTTAGTTCCATCTTAAACACTCCTGAATGTCACATTTAATAGCAACCTGCTTCTAGATTTGTAAAGTCTAGAAACAATTTTTTAATATATAATTAATATGCAGGCATCAGCACAATACCACAGACTGCATAGTCCAATACCATTCCACATTGTAAATCCAGACTTGCAATCCGCATATTTTTTTACACTGTCATCTCTCCCTCCATATCCACTGTTTGTCCTCTAACTCAGGGGTGGGCAAAATACGGCACGTGGGCCTCTGCCACAGGGCAGCGTTGGCAACAGAGAGCAGGCACAGGCAGCCCCACGTGGGCTCTGAACGGCTGCAGCACAAGACACCGGCCATGGGAGAAGGGGGCGCTTCCCCTCCTCACTAAGCACCAGCTTGTTCCCCAGAAGCTGCTGCTGAGCACAGAGGAAAGCAGCACCCCATCGCTGCTGCCAGGCACTGTTTGGTGCAGCCACCTGCCCGAAGCCTGTGTTGCTCTAGGCTGTGGTGCAGCAGCTTCCACTGCCTCTGTGCTGTCCAGGCCAGCGGCCGCACCAAACACTGTACCAAGGGGGGACTGCTTTCCTCTGCACTGAGAAGCAGCTTCTGCTAAGCTGCTGCTCCACAGCTCAGCCTCAACAGGCAAGCCCAGAGCTGGCACAGGGCCCAGGCTAGCAGTGGCAATGGGTTACAAGCTGGTGCTCAGTGTGGGGAAAAGCGCCCCCCTCCTGTGACCAGCACCCTGTGCTGCAGCCGCTCAGAGCTGCCCATATCTGCTCTCCACTGCCACCGCTGCTCCACAGGGTGGTAGTGATGTGGTGGAGAGGCAGGACAGCCCCACACAGGCTGCAAGTGGCTGCAGCACAGGGCACCGGCCACAAGGAGGGAAGAAGCCACTTTTTCTCCGCACTGAGCACCAGCTCATAACCCACGGGCAAGTGCAGGGAGGATGGTGTCGGGGCTACACACTGCTCCCTGCCTGTACCACGGGGCTGGTGCAGGGGCACTGGGAGCAAGCAGGCATGCAGGAGACAGCAGCAGCTGGGCAAGAGCATGTAGCCCAGAGCAGGGTGGCAGGAGCATGGGGTCCCAGCCAACAGGGGCTCTATGGAGCCTGGTCAGCTCCCCGCTCTCCCTGCTGGTGCAGTACAGCGCGGCTGCACAGACCCCTGCTAATCTATACCGCATGCTCCTACCGCCCCACTCTGGGCTTTGCCAGCACTGGCCCTGGGACATTGGTGCAGGCCTCACACTCCCATTCGCTTCCACTTCACCCCCCAACACTTTCCCCACTTTCCTGCACAGCCACTGTGCACTACATTGCTCCCATGCCTACATCACACATCCCCACAAACCCCCATGTGCAATCGCTTCTGCATATACACCACAAACACCCACAAATTAGGACAAAAATATATTTTTTAATTAAATTAAAATATATTATTATGGGTGTTTGATTTTTAGTATGTAATTTGTTTTTTTCCCTAAGATGGCAAACCCTTTTCCCCAAAGGAGTACTTCCAGGGATAAGGGGAGGGACTTTCAGTGGAAAAGGTCAGAGGATAAGGGCAGGACTTCTGGTCCCAAGATGGCAACCAGGGGGTGGGGCACCTGTCATGCGGCAGGGCTACCCATGTGGCCCTTGACAGCTTGCCAAAACTCAGTAAGCAGCTCTCCACCTGAAATAATTGCCCCCCCTCCCCGATCTAACATCTCCTACTTATGTCTCCCAGCAGCTGGCTGTCGGCCTCCTTGCATCTCCATCCATCTTTTTCTCATTTGTCCTATCATTTTCATTCATAAAGCTTTTAGGGAATTTAATCAACCTCACCTTTTTTTTCCTGCTCACTGGATCCGTCTACATGTGCTCCCCACAGTGCAGTTGTTACTGCGCCATCATTTAATACATGCTTTAGGAAGTACTAAATAATGGCTCAGTCACAGCCATTACTATGCCATCCTGGTGGTGCACAGTTATTTTTAGCAGTTATGTTGCCATAGCAATGTACTATAGCAAGGTAGCTCGTCACTGTGGCAACATAGCATCGGCATCACAGTTTGTGCCCACCGATGCTACATTGCCATAGCAAAAAGCTATGTCACTGTAGCATCACGTGTAGCTGCACCTCCTGATTCACAACAATCTCATTGATTTAACTCGTGTCTAAAATCTTTTACTCTTACCTGCACAGGCCATTTCCATCCACCATCCAAGATCTAACTTTGAAATAATGTGTCATTTTCCAACATACCTTCTGTAACAAACTGGGAGTTATTTTCTACATTTTCCTTTATGGATGATACCATTCAAAGTAAATTGATACTATAGAATCAGCATCTAGCTCTGGATGAAGTGATATCTAAGTGAAAAGACTCTAGGAGAACCAGTTTCCTTGGCCAAATAAGAAATTAATTCCTCAGATAAGAACAAGATTGAAAGATATTGCATGAAAAATATATAAATTATTAACTGATTTATTTCAGATATCCAGCTGTCTGCCCTACAGTTTGGGAATATGCAGAAGCTAGATGGGCCAACAGAACAATGTGAGGATCCTACATCAAACACTGTGGACAACTGCACTATTGATTATGTAAGGAACTTTTTTTTTATTCACTAGGTTAAAAAGAGCTTGCCCTTTCTACTGTGGAGAGCTAAGAGAAAGAGGATGCATCTACAGATGTGCCCGACTGTACAGTTGTTACCGCGCAGTCATTTAGTATTAGCTTTTAGCAAGTACTAAATGAGTGGGCAGTAACTGCTGGTATTGCACAGTCCCAGTGCTGCGTGGGTTGTTTCCAACTCTACTGTGCAGTAGCAGCAGCATCACAGTTTGTCACCGCTGATGCCATGTCACCCTAATGACAAGCTACATCACCATAGCTCGTCACTACAGTGACATAGCATCTCATGTAGATGGGCCCAGAATCTAATTAAGAAAAAAAACATAACAAAAAATAACACTTTAAGTGGTCCCCTCTGTTTTGTGAACTTGTGAATTAAATACCATTTTCTGCCCCCTAGGAAAACATGTGCCGGAAAACACTGACTGGCCCTGCCTTTTCAGAGTGTAATGATCTACTAGATGTTAGCAAGTACATTGAGTCTTGTGTACAAGACTTGTGCCGCTGTGACCAGTCCAACAATGCCTTCTGCATGTGTAATACTTTTGCTGAATACTCCCGGCAGTGTGCCCATGCTGGTGGGCAACCTCAGAACTGGAGAACTCCACAACTGTGCCGTAAGTTGGAGTTAGCCTTAGCAATCTTATGAGTTTGTCAGGAATTATCAGACGTATTTTCCCACACATCTCTGGGGTTTGTGTTTTGGAACCCAGTCCCAAACTATATCTTTCCAGGTTACTGAAGGTCTAAGGATCCCCTCCCCAGCTCCAGTCCATTAGCCCCTTAAATTAAAAAAGATAGCTATTGTAAACCTCCAAGTCATGTTGGAAAGTACAAGGAATCTTGACGCTGGGGGACTCCTACTCCACGTCTAGCCTAGGGCCCTAAATTTAAGTCCTCCAGCAAATCTCACTCTTGTCAACTTCTCCTCTCGACCTCAACTGGCTACTTCATATCTTCACCCCTTTAACTCTTTAGCCCTCATTCCTATCTCCCAAGTAAGCTTTCCCTCCTGTATCACAGTGGCTAGCCAGGATACACAGAAGTCCTTCGTAGTCCCAAAGCTTTTTCTCAACCACAGATCTCTTGAGCCCCAAAGTTTTCTGCACACTGCCCAGGTCTCCCTTTTAATCCTTCTGTGGCCTGCCTCTGCCTCCTGATTGGGTAGCCATGAAACTCTGGCCCTAGTTCCCCCAGTGTTCCTGTGGCTTGCTATGTGGGGCTTACAGGCACCATCACATGAACCACAGGAATTAAAGGTTATTCAGTATGGTAATGCTTTTCACAGAATGTCAGTAGCTGTAGCTACATGCAGACAGCCAGGAACGTTCACCTGAATTAATGAACAGTGTACATTTAATGGAGACATTAACATATGAAACCCCTGTGTGGATACAATCATTCTAAAATAAAGTGTTCTTAGTTCAATCTAGCTTATTTCAATGGGAAATTAAATTAAGGCACCTTAATGCTGCCTGAGAGTGTCTACACAGCAATGTCATGTGGGTTTAACTAATCCACTGTATAAAATAATCTACATTCATTTTTCTGAGTGCCTTTGTGTAGACATACTCTGAATTAAACAGTTGTCCAGACTACGGAGGCAACCAGTATCTTCTGCATTGAAGTGGGGAGACCAATATTTATCAATGTTGATTCATAATTATATTCCCAGGAGATAACTAGATTTCAGTGAAATCCACATGATTCAAATATGTGCGTTTACTAGGGGCCTACGTTTTTCATATTCCACAAGTAATGAAGGGGTTCCTGCAAAGAGGCCGCTGCAAACCAAGCGGGCCAATGTATACATCTCATAGATCTATAAAGCAGTTTCTAATGTATCGGCAAAAATCCAAGCTTCAAGTTACAAACTCAGCATTATATGATAGAACTGCAGTTCGAACCCATAAAACGTCACCTGGGATTATCAAACTTCCAAAGCTAGAGGGAAGTTTGGATCTGAGGTCTAGTGTAGCCTCCTTTCTAGAAAGAAGGTTGGAATGAATACACATTTTAAGATGTAGCAAATGGTAATTACGTTTGAATTAAGAAATCTGTCTTTCTTTAAAATTTCAGCCAAGATGTGTACTTTCAATATGCACCACCAGGAATGTGGTTCCCCCTGCATAGACACCTGCAGTAACCCTGAAACGTCTCCACTCTGTGAGGAGCACTGTATAGATGGCTGCTTCTGCCCTCCAGGCAAGTTTTCATCGTCTCCCACTTCTCATCTCAAAAAAGACCAGCAGCTATTTGCGTGTAGACATTTAGCTGCACTTCCATACCTCAGAGCTCCCCCAAAGGTACTTTTCACAGTTAATTTCCTATAAGTGTGCAACATCTGGAAAGTGGTAAAGAAGAATTAGAACAATGAATTTCAGAATGTCTCCCATGACTTAACATCATGACTGTTCTACGGCAAAGGGGTGCCTGTTATACAGCAGCTCAGCACTATTCCATTTATTTGCCCTACAGGACTTGTAAGACAAGTGGAAATTTAAACTTTCTAGGACCAAATCCTTACATGATGCAATTTAGCATGCTTTACTGACTTCGACAAAGCTATGCCTCTTTAGAGCTGCCAATGAAC